CCTCATTGGAATAATCAGTCCCTGCAATGGTTCCCCTGGGTGTTGGCTAGAAACCCAGAGGCCACTGGCCTGTGGGAGTCCTTCGCACCTGTGGGCAGTCACACAAACGTGGCTGTTTCTCCTGTAGGTCACTCCTCCTCTGCCCCCCTTGCAGCCTGCAGCCCAACTCTCCTCCCCTCGCCTGCTTTTCTTCCTATTCAGATCTGGAGGGGCTGCTGTCCCATCCTTGGGAGCCTTTGGAGAGATTCATGACAAAGATGGCGTCCCCCACACTGCCCTCTGGCACTCCGATTGGGTTTTTTTTTAGAGAGCATTTTTTTCTGAAACTATTTTGTCTGTTTACCACACAAACCTCTTCCTCCCTGATTCACGGGGACTTTGTATCTTTTTCATTATTCTCTGTTCTGCACCCAGAACAATGAGTCTTCACACACGGGGCGCAGGCAAAAATATTCCCCAAATACTTCATTTATCTCAGGGTCCCTGATTTGAGTTATTTGTTAGAATTGTAATACTGTTGGGTGGCGCCTGTGGCTCAGTGGGTAGGGCACCAGCCTCATATACCCAGGGTGATGGGTTTGAACCCAGCCCCAGTCGGCTAAAACAGCAGTGGCAACTGCAACAAAAATAGCCTGGCGTTGTGGCGGGCACCTGTAGTCCCCACAACTCAGGAGGTTGAGGCAAGAGAATCGCCCTAGCCCAAGAGCTGGAGGTTGCTGTGAGCTGTGACATTGCAGCACTCTACCAAGGGTGATGAAGTGAGACTCAAAAAAAAAATATATATAATACTGTTAAACCCTTTTTTGTTTGTTGTTGGTTTTCTTTTTTTTTTTTGAGATGGTCTCACTATGTCACTCTCAGTAGAGTGCTGTGGCATTACAGCTCACAGCAACCTCAAACTCTTAGACTTAAGTGATTCTCTTGCCTCAGCCTCCCAAGTAGCTGGGACTACAGGTGCCTGCCACAACGCCCAGCCATTTTTTGGTTGCAGTTGTCGTTGTTTGGCAGGCCCTGGGCCAGGTTCCAACCGGCCAGCTCCTGTGTATGCAGCGGGTGCCCTAGCCACTGAGCTACAGGCACTGAGCTGGCTAAAGTGTTTACTAAAAACGTTTTCATAAATTTAGTGTCCCATGTTTTGTAGAGTCTACAATAGTGGACAGTCATGTCCCAGCCCTTCACATTTACTGACTCACCTAGAGCAACTTCATTCTCGTGAGCGCCATTTTAGGGTAAGCGCCCTCCCTGTCGTGGTATACCATGTTTTAACTTTTATAACATGCATTTAGATACATAAATACTCACCATTTTGTTACAATCACCTTCAGTAATCATACAATGACATACACAGGTTTGTCACGTAGAAGCAGTGGGCTATTCAGTAATGCCTCGGGGTACTGGCCAGTAATCCATTTCTCAAAGCATATCCTCATCCTTAGGGGACACACACAGTAGTTGTTTCCACTAACAGACAATGCTTGTTGTGTAGGCCATCTTTTCATAATAAATTAATAAATTGTCATTTCTGTTTTGTTTTTTTGGTAGAGACAGTCTCACTTTATCACCCTTCGTAGAGTGCCGTAGTGTCACACAGCTCACAGCAACCTCCAACTCCTGGCCTTACGTGATTCTTTTGCCTCAGCCTCCCGAGTAGCTGGGACAGGTGCTCGCCACAACGCCCAGCTAACTTTTTTGTGGTTGTTGTTGCATTTTGGCGGGGGCTGGGGTTGAACCTGCCACCCTCGGTATATGGGGCTGGCACCCTACCCACAGAGCCACAGGCGCCGCCCGCCATTTCAGTTTTGTTGGTGAGAGATCAGTAGGGTAATACTGAGATGCCTAACAAATAATCTCTAATAGCTTAGAAAGGTAAGGGCAATAATACCTTGGACCCTGGCTAATTCATAAGGGAAAGACCTCTTGCTCCCCAATTCTAGTCTCCTAGATATGTCTTTCTGAATAATACCTTGTATCATTAATAGCCACCATTTTTTTAGCAGCCCCAAAGAACTTTCTCATTGTGTGTCTAAAGTCTCAAATAATGGCTTATGCTTTCAATCCTACGATATGTGGGGAAGACCACAGATGAGACTTTGACTCTCATAGAGCTTATAGTCCAGCAGGTAAGATGGACCTTAAATCAGGAATATCAAGAGCTCTGATGGGTGGAAAGTGGGGAGCTGGAGGAACATCCTCAGTTAGCTTTCAGACCTAACTGAGCCTGAGATTCCAAGGAAGCCTGCCTGAGAAAGTGAGGATTCAGCAGAGGTCTGAAGTATGGATGGACAAGCCTGTGTGTGTGTGTGTGTGTGTGTTTTGGGGGGGTAGGGGTAAGGATTGGAGGAGCATGGACTGATCCCATGGTGTATTAATAGAGAGTGTTATTATGGCTAAAAAATGAAACACACGAGAGCTGGAGATGGCAAGAGATGAACTTGGAGAGAAAAGCGGGAATCAATTAAATTGCAGTTAGAGGTTAAGTATTCCTTTCCTGAAATGCTTAGGACCAGAGTACAAGTGTTTGGGATTTCAGATTTTTTTAGATTTTTGGAATATTTGCAAAACACTTAACCTGTTGAGCATCCTAAATCTAAAAATTCAAAATCTAAAAATATTCCAATGAATGTCTCAAATTCGTGTTGTTACTCTAAAAGTTTTATTTTGAAGCATGTCAGTTTTCAGATCTAAGATACTCAGCCTGGTTTGTTTGTTTTTTTGAGACAGAGTCTAACTCTGTCCCTCAGACTAGAGTGCCTGGCAACATTATAGCTCAAGCAACATCAGACTCAGCTCAAGCGATCCTCCCAACTCAGCCTCCTGAGTAGATGGGACTACAGGTGCCCACCACCATGCCCAGCTAGCTTTTCTGTTTTTATTTTTTTGTTTAGTAGGCCCAGGCCGGGTTCGAACCCACTAGCCCTGGAGCATGTAGCCAGTGCCCTAACCACCGAGCTAAAGGCGCCCAGTCAGTTTTTCTGTCTTTAGTAGAGACTGGGTCTGGCTCTTGCTTAAACTGAGCTTAAGGGATCCTCTTGCCTGAGCCTCCCAGAGTGCTAGGATTACAGATGAGCCATCACACCTGACTTCAACCTGTATTTTAAATGGACTAATTAGGGCAGAAGGGCTTTTGTGTCCAATCCTAGTAGTTAGGCTTCAAAGGTGCTAAGATTTTTCTTAGTAAATATACCTGGATATAGTCTACTGGTTTATTTCACCTATTTATTTATTTATATTTTGTAGTTTTTGGTCCAGGGCCGAGTTTGAACCCACCACCTCTGGTATATGGGACCAGCACCCTACTCCTTTCAGCCACAAGCACCACTCTATTTCACCTTTTTAAAGGCCATAATAAAAAGTAACATCATTACCATTTATGTATATGAGGTACATTTTAAGAAGCAATTTTAGGGTGGCACCTGTGGCGGCTCAGTGAGTAGGAGGACACCAGCCCCATATACCAAGGGGGGCTGGTTCAAACCCAGCCCGGGCCAAACTGCAACAAAAAAATAGCTGGGTGTTGTGGCGGGCATCTGTAGTCTCAGCTACTGTGGAGGCTGAGGCAAGAGAATTGCCTTAAGTCCAAGAGGTGGAGGTTACTGTGAGCTATGATACCACTGCACTCTACCAAGGACCACAAAGTAAGACTCTGTCTCTTAAAAAAAAAAAAAAGGCAATTTCAAATTTTCCTTATCATTGAAACACTTTTTTATTGTTCTTCTATGTATTTATTTTTTGACACAAGTAAATGGCATGATTATTCTGTCTAGCTGTTACCTTTTTTTTTTTTGAGACAGAGTCTTACTTGGTCACCCAGGGTAGAGTGCTGTAGCATCATAGCTCACGGCAACCCCCAACTCTTGGGCTTAAGCAATTCTCTTGCCTCAGCCTCCTGAGTAGCAGGGGACTACAGGCACCTGTCACAATGCCTGGCTATTCTTCAGATGAGGTCTCACTCTGGCTCAGGCTGGTCTTTAACCCAGCTCAGGTGATCTGCCTGCCTTGGCCTCCCAGAGTGCTGGGATTAAAGGTATGTACCACCTCACCTGGCCGAGCTGTTACTTTTTAGTGCGGCTATTTAAGACTATTTGCAAGCTATTAATTTTCACCACCACTACCTTCCAGATTTGAGATTTGCCTTTTTTTTTTTCAGAGACAAAGTCTCATTTTGTCACCCTCAGTAGAGCACTGTGGCATCACAGCTCACAGCAACCTCCAGCTCTCGGGCTTAGGCGATTCTCTTGCCTCAGCCTCCCGAGTAGCTGGACTACAGGTGCCTGCCACAACGCCCAGCTATTTTTTGTCACAGTTTGGCTGGGGCTGGGTTCGAAACCGCTACCCTCAGTATATGGGGCTGGCACAGTGTATCACTCTGTTGCCCCAGGCTTGAATACTGTGGTGTCAGCCTCCTGAATAGCTGGCACAACAAGAACCAACATGCTATATACCTTTTTTAATGTTGCCTTTTGGTTTTTAAGAAAAAAAAAACTTTTTTTTGAGCAGAGTCTTATTCTGTTACCCTGGGTAAAGTGAGTTCCCTGGTGTCATAGCTCACAGCAACCTCAAACTCCTAGACTCAAGCCTAAGACTATAGGTGCCCGGCCAGTTTTTCTATTTTTAGTAGAGCTAGGGTCTCACTCTTCTTACTCCAGCTTGTCTTGAACTCCTGAACTCAGGTGATCCTCCAGCTTTGGCCCCCCAGAGTGCTGGGACTAAGGGAGTGACCCATCTCGACTGGCCTTATGACTCATAGCTTAAGCCAGGGCTTGTTCTCTTCGCCTGTTGGGGTTTATTAGAGACGATGTAAATGTAGCCATTCCATTATTGTTCTAGGCTATTTTTTGAGTTAATTTCCTGATAAGGCCTCTGATGTTGGAATATGTTTTAATTAAAGATCATTATCACAGAGCAGGTGTTTGGCGGAGACGGCTATCCCAGATCCCTGCTACCTGCAAGTGTTGGCAGATCCCAGTGCAAACCTCCGAGGAGGAAGCAGGTGGGACACCATGAACCAGCAACTGAAGAGAAAAGCGAAGACAAGTGGCCAGAAAGGCCCAGCTAAAAGAACCCCCAGGGGGGCTAAAGTCAGGCAAAGCAAATCCCACCAAGTCCCACGGGCAGACACGGAGGCTCATGAGGACACAGCAGGAGCCTTGTGTGGTAATGTGTGCTGTGACACTAGCCTTCAAGCTCTTGAAGATGATACCTTCCCTGACTGTTACATAGAATGCATAATAAGAGGGGAGTTTTCTCAACCCATCCTGGAAGAGGAATCACTTTTTAAGTCCTTTGAATACCTGACAGAAGGATCAGAAGATGAGCTTTCTCAACAGTTTCTGGAAGCAAGCTCCTGCCTGCAGTGTTCTTTGGAGTACATGAAACAAGGGCCAAAACAAAAGCTTCCCCAACAGGTGGTTGGAGAAAATTCACTTTCCGAGTATTCTGAGTACGTGACAGGCAAGAAGCTTCCTCCTGGAGGAATTCCTGGCCTTGACTTATCAGATCCTAAGCAGCTCGCAGAATTCACTAAAAAGAAGCCCCCCAAGAATAAAACTTGTGATTCTCCGCAGGCCATTGCTTGTCCTCAGAGGGGGTGCACTCGAAGGCTGAGGGACAAAGCTGCCCTGAGAAAGCACCTCCTGGTCCATGGGCCCCGAGACCACGTGTGTGCGGAGTGTGGGAAGGCATTTGCCGAGAGCTCCAAGCTCAAGAGACACTTTCTGGTTCATACTGGAGAGAAGCCTTTCCAGTGCACCTTTGAAGGCTGTGGCAAGCGATTTTCTTTGGATTTCAACTTGCGCACGCACGTCCGCATCCACACTGGGGAGAAACGTTTTGCGTGTCCCTTTGAGGGCTGCAGCAAAAAGTTCGTTCAGTCCAATAACCTCAAGGCTCACATCTTAACTCACGCAAAGAATGAGAAGAAGATGAAGGACTAGAGAGAAAAGAGCCTTCCAGTGAGACGGAATATTGACAGAAGAGTGATCAGTAACAAATACTCCTCAGTGATGACTGTTTTTAAATCAATATTGTAACCCTACGAGGCATATTTTTAGCATTTATGAGGGGCTTTTATACTTTGAGATAAGTTTTAAGAGCATGGTGTATTCTATGGCATCCTTCCAACTGGAAATTGGTGATAGATTTATTTCAAAAGTATAATCTCTAACATATTATGTATTGATTGATTATTGGATAGGAGACTTATTTTTATCTACTATAAATATGAGAAATAACTTTGATTTTTAATTTCATGGTTTGCTTAGCTTTTGCCTTTTACAATTAAAACTGCATGGTGCATGTGGTAATTCTAGAAATTTCCAATCCTAAAGAAAGAAAATTTTATAGTAATTTTACAGTTGGTTGATAAATTCATGAGACGTTTTAAACATTTTAAAAGTTAAATGTACTTTTAAAATTATGTTTGTTATGATATCAAATTGTGATGCAATTAGATGTGTATGACTGATTATTTGATAAAGTTAATCTATTTTAATCTTTTAAATATTTCTAAATAAAGGGAAATAAAACCCCAGTATTATACTAACTTTGGATTAAAAGAATCAAAGCATTATAACCTGTTTGTACCCTCATGTTAATCTGAAAGAAAAGCACCTCTATCCAAAATATAATTATACTCCCCCCCAAGAAAAAACCCCAAAGAAGTGTGCCTTAAAAAGACAACTTTTGTTCTTAAAAATTAGTGAAACATGGCTAAGAGTGCTGTTTGGTATTGGAGACAGAGTTTCACTTTGTCACCCTCCATAGAGTGCATTGGTGTCACAGCTCACAGCAATCTCCAGCTCTTGGGCTTAGGCGATTCTCTTGCCTCAGCCTCCTGAGAGCTGGGACTACAGGCGCCTGCCACAACGCCCTGCTATTTTTTGTTACAGTTTGGCCCAGACCCGGCTCGAACCCGCCACCCTTGGTATATGGGGCCAGCTCCCTACTCACTGAGCCACAGGTACCGCCCTGAAGTATCAGTTTGTTAGGAGCAAGGAGAGTCAGTCTACTGTAATCCAAAGCATGTGCATTATTTTTAACCTAATAATTTTATTTCTAGAATTTTATTCTACAGAAATATTTGCATTAATGTAAGAAGGTATTTGTTCTAGGGTATTAACTGAGTCATAGTATTTTTTTTTTTTAAGAGACAGTCTCACTTTATCGCCCTCAGTAGAGAGCTGTGGCGTCACAGCTCATAGCAACCTCCAACTCCTGGACTTAGGCGATTCTCTTGCCTCAGCCTCCTGAGTAGCTGGGACTACAGGTGCCCTCCAGAATACCTGTCTATTTTTTTTGTTGCAGGTTGGCCGGGGCCAGGTTTGAACCCCCCACCCTTGGTATATGGAGCCCATGCTCTACCCACTGAGCCACAGGTGCCACCTGAGTCATAGTATTTTTAATAGCAACAAATTTATAACTTAAATGTTCAGGAAGGGGAAAACTAATTGTGTAAGTCACGCTATGTCTGTTTTCAATAGAAAATTTGAGAGTACCCTTACAGGAGCAGGCCACAGGGAGAAGGAAGCAGGAAATAAGAAGTTTGCTTTTTATTTTTTGTTGAGACAGTCTTACTATGTTGCTCTTGTAGAGTGCCGTGGCATCACAGCTCAGAGCAACTTCCAAATCTTGGGCTTAAGCAATTCTCTTGCCTCAGCCTTCCAAGTAGCTGGGACTACAGGCACCTGCCACAATGCCCAGCTATTTTTTGTTGTTGCAGTTGTCATTAATGTTTAGCTCGCCAGGGTTGGTTTCGAACCAGTCAGCCTTGGAGTATGTGACTGTCTTCGTAAACACTGTGCCACAGGCCCCATGCCTGCTTTTATGGTTTATTATTTTTGTTTTTTTAGACAGAGTCTCACCCTGCTATCCTGGGTAGTGTGCTTAGGCATAAGTGATCCTCCTGCCCCAGCCTCCTCAGTAGCTGGGACTACAGGGGCCTGTTAGTACTTCTGGTTATTTTTTTCTATTTTTAGTAGAGATGAGGTCTTGCTGTTGCTCAGGCTGGTCTGGAAGTCCTGAGCTCAAGAGATCCACCCGCCTCAGCTTCCCAGAGTGCTGGGATTACAGGTGTGAGCCACTGAGCCTGGCCTATTTGTTAACTCTTCTTGGTGCACATGTCCTTGTGATGGCCATATCCATGATAGAAGACCGTATTATCCTCATGCAGTACATGAAGTCCCTAGACTTACTCCACATAGCTAAAATGGTGCCTTTCTAACTGTTTTCTCCTCCACCTTCCTATTTCTGGCCATTAAAGTTATGCTCTATGTATGTATTTGACTTCTTTTTAGCATTTCTCCCTCTAAGTGATCATGCAGTAATTCTTTGACTATTTCTCTTAGCATACTGTCCTCCGGGTTCATTCATGTAACCAACACCAGTATCCATTTTGTTAAGACTGAATAATACTCTGCGGATGTGTTTATATAAACACCACAATTTCTTATCTAGTCATCTATTGGTGAACACTTAGGTTTTCTCCATAATGCGGCAATGAAAGGGGGGCGTAGAGATGATTTTATTTCCTTTGGCTATACACCCAGAGTTGGGGTTGCTGGATCAAAGGGTAGCTTTTTTTTTTTTTTTTTGAGACAACAGTCTTACTTGGTCACCCTCAGTAGAGTGCTGAAGTGTCTTAGCTCACAGCAACTGCAAACTTCTGGGCTTAAGCAATTCTCTTACCTCAGCCTCCCGAGTAGCTGGGACTACAGACATAATGCCTATTTTTTAGAGATGAGGGTCTTCCTCTTGCTCAGGCTGGTCTTGAACCTGTGAGCTCAGGGAATCCACCCACTTCGGCCTCGCGAGTGCTGGGATTACAGGCATGAGCCACTGTGCCCAGCCCTCTTAGCTTTTTGAGGAATCTTCATCTCGTTTTCCAAAATGGAAGTCTGCCTTTCCAAGATGGTAATTAATTGAAAGGGTTCCATTTCCTCTTCACTGTCTCCAGTGTTTGTTATCTCTTGATTTATCTTTTCTTTTTTTTTAGACAAAGTCTCACTTTGTTGCCCTTGGGTTAAGTTGCCTTAGCCTAGCTCACAGAAACCTCAAACTTGGATTCAAGTAGTCCTCATACCTTCCCAAGTGGCTGGGACTACAGGTGCCCACCACCACACCTGGTGAGTTTTTTTCATTTTTAGTAGAGGTGGGGTCTTGCTCAGGCTGCTCTAACTGCTGAGCTCAAGCAATCTGCCCACCTTGGCTTCCCAGAGTGCTGGGATTGTAGGCATGAGCCACCACACCAAGCCTCAAATCACACATTTAAATTTTTACTGTTGTTCCCTGAACTTTTTGAGTGTTACCCAAAAAATCATCGCCAAGGTCAATATTAAGGCCCTTCCCTCCACCCCGTGTTTTTTTATAGAAGTTGTAGTCTTTAGGTTTTAGATTTAGGTCTGTCCTTAATCCATTTTGGCTTGATTTTTGTGCATAGTGTAAAATAAGGGTCCAGTTTCTTATTTTTGCATATTGAAATCCAGTTTTCCCAACACTAGTTATTGAAAATACCTTTTCCCCCCTTGTGTCTTCTTGACCTTGTCAGAAGTTAATGTATATACTTGGATTTTTTCTGGGCTCTTTATTATGTTCCTTTGGGGTGTGTGTGTGTGTGTGTGTGTGTGTGTGTTTAATGCCAGTATTGTGTTGTTTTGACAGCTTTCTAATATAATTTGATATCAAGGAGTATGATGCTTTCAACTTTGTTTTTCTTGCTCAAATTGTTTTGGTTATTCTGCCCTGCAATGTGGTTCCATACCAATTATAGAGAGTTTTTTCCTTTTTCTTTTTTATTTTTTTAATTGTTGGGGATTCATTGAGGGTACAAGAAACCAGGTTAAACTGATTACATTTGTTAGGTAAAGTCCCTCTTACTGTTTCTTTTTCTATTTCTGAAAAAAATTGCTATTGGAATAATGATTGTGATCACATTGAATCTGTAGATTGCTTTGCGTAGTATGGACATCATAACTATTAATTCTTCCAGTACATGAATACAGGATATATTTCCATTTGTGTCATCTTCGATTTCTTTCAACAAGATACATCTTTCACTTTCCCCATTAAATTTATTCCTAAGTAGTTTCTTCTTTTGGTTCTTATTATAAATGAGGCTGTTCTTGGTTTCTTTCTCAGATGGTTATGGGTGTAAAGAAGTGCAAATGATTCTGATGCTGGATTAACTGAGGAAAATTAAAACAA